AACATTAATTAGGGAGGCAATGAACTTGTTTTGAAACTGGTTATACTGTACTAAGTTCTGAGCAGTCAACATGGTTGCATTTGGGATCAGTGAAAATCCCCAAACATGTAAAATAATTCTCATCATGTTGTCCTCAAAGTCTCCTAGTTCAGAACTCTTTGTTTTGAAGTCCGACACAACTCAAGAACAGAAGCTGGTCTCCAAGGGATCTGTATATCCCACAAAGGATAGAAACAGTTCTGAGTTTAACAGCTAGAATTCAGATTTCCAGAAAGGAGGTCAAATAATGTTATGCTTGTTTCTTCTTTCCAACAAGCATAACATTGCAAGAGCCCTGGTGTAATTTAACACTTCTGTACCTGATAAAACTCATATTGCCTATCTGGAGATTCTCATCATTCCATCTAAGGGTATAACCTGGTATATTCTCTTCCGCAAACATACTATTTTCCTAGTTTTTAATAATTTTACTTAATGGATAGTTTTTGAATTCTTGTGGCTATTTTATCTCAATGTGGTCTCAATGTGTTCCTTCTATACAGATTTCCTAAGATCTCTTGCAAAATCAGGAATACTTCTTTGACTGTTAAAATGTATCTTTGAATACAATATGCGTACAGCATGATGTAATAAATAGGAGATGAAAGTTTAGTATTTCCAAAGAACACATACACAATTCAAAACTTAACAAATGCTGGCCGAGTCCCAATAGAATGCACATTTCCCCATTCAAAAATGCACAGAAAACACCAACTGATATTCTGCTGTGTGGTATAAAGCTGAAGTAGAGAAGCTATAAAAGATTGGAAAGCTTTTCCATTATTAAATCAGCTTTACAGATGTGACAGTGATGGTTTAGGAAAATGAGTCCAGATAAATAGTAAACCATGACTTACTTCAAACAAAGGAGATGTCAGCATTGCAATGTTGCCTGCAAAAGGAAAAAAAAAACACGTAGTGTGGTATTAGGCTACATGAACAAAAGTATAATATCTAAATTGCAAGATGTCATTGTCTTTATTCTGTGTTGGCCAGATGCCATCTTAAGCATTGTGTCAAATTCTGATCACCACAATGAATCAGACACATAGTAACAGGTTCAGAGAAAAGCAGGATGATCATGGGATTTGTGGTAGGATGAACTGTCCTGAAACAGAAAAAGGTTACATGTGCCTGTCAAGGTCAATGTCTTTTCTCTGCAGTGGTCTGACTGTCAGCTGTCCAGCTTGGGCCCGTAGGCACTTGAGGAAAATGTTTAAAGCTCCTTAGAATCACCTGCCAACTGGCACATAGACTTCAAAAGAAAGCATTGTAAAGGAAGGCAGAGTGGGTAGACATACGTTGGGGGTGGGTCTTCTAGGTGTGGCAGGAGTGGGCGACAACAGGATGAGACATGGATCAGAGGAGGCAATGGCTGGGAGAGCCAGAAGCCAGACAATTCACAGCCAGGGAGAAGAACCAGGAAGGACCCTAAGGCGGTTGAAGCCAAAGAAGAACCTACAGAAAAGAGCCAGCCAAAAGAAAATACAGCCTGGGATTCTAGAGGGTCGCGGAGTGAACTCCATCTGAACACCTGGGCATGACAGTATTATGAAGAGAAGCTGTTAGCACTCCTAAGCCTATAGGTAAGGTAAGGAGGATGAGGAAGAAACTAGCAGTGAAACAGTTGTGTATTATAAGTAAAGTAATAGAAATGTATGGCATTTAGTTAAGTTCTAAGTATTAAGTTAGGTATTAGAGTACATATTTATGTTAGGTCACTATAGATATACTTATACACATAAAATCCTATAAATATACTTTGTACCTTGTTTGTATAGTAATAAACAGCACTGTGTTCACTTGCTAGCTGTGTGTGTGTATCTGGATTCATTCCTATCCATTCCAACCTTATGACTGGATTAGATTTTAAATCCTATGAAAAGAGAATACCTTCAATTATGAGAAGTAAAGAATGACTGGGATATGATACCCTTGTTCATATTCCTGAAAGGATGTCATACAGAAGGCTAAAACCTGTTCACTATCTTTGCAGAGTGCAGGCATTGAAAAAGGGATTTAAAACTACAGAAAGGCAGATTCCAGTTGAATGACCAAA